CTCTCTTTCCTCTGGGGAGGTAGCCTGGGTGAGAGACTGCTGCTTAAGTTTCTCCCTGTGTCCCTGGTCCTCACCCCATCTGACCCCAAGTAAGGCAATGACTTCAGAAGTTATATAGGGGGCTGGCTGAAGATGAACACCCCAGGAAGAGGATTAGAGAACGGGGTGGGGGCAGTAAATGATCAAGGTTCCCCCAGTTTAGGGACGGAATCCTGGTTATCCTGGTGTGAGTGTGGGCTGGTCACTCCAGCTCCCCACCAAGCCCACCCAAGCCTGGGTAACTTTCCATCTGAAGCTGTCTGCTTCCCTCATGGCAATGAGAGTAGTCCTTGCCATCTTTCCCTGTTGTCTCAGGTTTGTCAGGAATTGGGGGGCTCAGTTGTGGATTACATTCCCCCTCTGGGGCACTCAGACTCCACTCGGACCTGGCAGTCTCTCTCCAGTCCCAGCTCTGGGCCAGGCCCCAGGTGGGGCCTGCCAGAGCTGAGAGGCGCGGCCCCCTCCCCAGAGCTCTGGCCTGACACAACCGATTAGGACTTCATGCTTCAGCCTGGAGTCTCCCTGGTCAGACTCCCCACCCAGGCCCCATGATGCCGGCCGGCCTTGTTGTCCCCAGTGGGCCATGAAGAGCCCTCTGTATACCTTACACCCACCTCCATAGCTGTCCTCAGCAGGACTTAGGGGCTGCTGTCTACCCACAGGCCTCTAGTGCTTTGTGGTTAGCCAGGCTTGACCTTTGACCTCTGCCTCCTAAGGAGCACCATACATTCCTGCCTGGGACTCAGAAGACGATGTAGTTTCTTTCTTGTCTTGTGACCTTTGCTTTTTAATTTCTGCCCCTGGTGGTAGGAGATTGGGGGTGGGAAGATCTACTTGGGCAATTTTTAAAACTTAGACAAGAAAAAAAAATTATCTTTAGGGGCTAGAGAGATGGCTATGTGGTTAAGAGCACTGGCTACTTTTCTAGAAAAATCAGGTTCAAATCCCAGTACCCCCCATGGCAGCTCACAATCATCTGTAACTCCAGTTTCAGGGGATCTGGCACCCTCTTCTGACCTTCGTGGGTAGCAGGCACACATGTGATACACAGACATACAGGCATGTCAAACACCCATGCACATAAGCAGCAACAAAGTAGTATTAAAACAATTGAAATATTTGAAATTTGCATTTGTTAACTGATAATGAGGCTCTGAAAAGGGTGTGTGTGTGTGTGTGTGTGTGTGTGTGTGTGTGTGTGTGTTCAAAACAGATAAGCTGTTTTGAACTTACTGTGCAGCTGAGCCTGGCCTTGAACTTCTCATCCTCTTGCTTCCACTTCTCAAATGCTGGGATTACAGGCAAGAGCTACCAGGACCAGTGTATACGATGCTAGGGCTCAAACGCAGTGCTTCATGCATGCCAGGCAAACACTCTAGCAACTGAGGTCCATTCTCAGCTTGAGTTACCTGCACTCTGAGGGACCTCAGATCCTTTGTCTCCACTGGGGTTCATTTTTTACCAGTCTCTGGTTTATAGAGCCTGGGCAAGTCAGGCTTGTCCTTATTTCTACCACCGGGCTCTGCTGGCCTCTAGAACTTAGCATTTGTGACTCTTGAAGCTTTCTTGATCCAGGGATCAGAGTGCTGGGATTAGGGGTGCTGGATGGCACCCCCTTAGTCTAAATAGAATAGAGAAATTCAAGCCCAGCCCCAGGCCCCTGATGCAGCAGCTGGATCCTGCAGCCATTCTTGTTCACAATGTGCACATCTGGGGTGATGTGCTCCCACCCCCAGCCCAGGCTCACATCTGGAGACCAAAGCTGGCTCTCTGGCTAAACACAGAGCATCTGGACATGAAGAGCTGTTTCTAGGTTAACACGGCCCATCTGGGCCCCTTGTTCCTGCTCCGCCCCGTCTCCACAGTGGAATGCTGGCTGCACATCTGGAGGTCTGGAGATGGTGTCCAGCTGGGTCAGGAGCTGTCTCTGCCACCATCACCACCGTCTGTCTGGGGTCCTTGCCCTGAGGTAGGGGTCTTATTTTTGCAGCTTCCCCAGACTTTCCAAAAGGCACTGTTCTCAGGGCTTCGCCTGAAGGGCTTACCTTGGCAACAGATACATCTCCACATATTCTGTACACATGTATCTTGTCCGGATTGGTGACAGCTGCCACTCTGCACCAGCCCACCCGAGAGAGGCTGTTGGCATTACTTAAAAGAGCCTCTGGGACCCCTAGATTGCCTGTCCAAATGCCCGCTCTTGGAGTTCCACCAGCTGGAAGGGACGGGGGAGAGCCTTGGGTCTCTGCCTTGGAGCCCACTTCATTGGAGCAAAACTGAGCCTAACCCTCCATGCCA